AGGTTACCCTTGCCCTACTGCTCCTCCTGTGGATCCATTTGCCAAAATCAAAGTGGATGACTGTGGAAAAACTAAGGGATGCTTTAGGTTGGTAGATCTGCGAGTTGGATAACTTTAAAGCCAAGACTTTGATTTTACTTCTCAAGGTAGTATTTAAATTGCATGCAGTTCACTCTAACCAGGGACCTGTACCCCTCATAACTTCAGCAGAGATGCGGCTTGTTTCTGATGGCCACCCCAGGTTTCAGTCTTCCAAGCCTTGAGCTGTAGCATGCCCGTTGGCCCTAGAACGTTCTTCTCTAGTTCTTCACTTATGACTGTACGCCATTGGCTCAGGTGTCTAACCAGTTGGCTGTATGAAAAAGAATCACATAACACAGATGTCTCTGCTTATTCAGCAGGGGTGTGGATGGGACAGGCAATAATAGATGTGCCTAAGACCCAGTTCCTTTTCAAATCAATAGTCATGACTTATGGGTAGCTGTATGATACTAACTAGTCATTACGCATTGATTATTGTGTCTAGCTAGTTGTCTCAGATCTAGTGAGTTCCTGCCTGATTATTAGTAGTATGCTGTCAAGACGTGATGGGCTGGAGCTAGAAAACAGTAGTGTAGACAGTGGCCCTCCTGTCTAGACAGCTGTGCTTTGTTGGGAAAACCTCCTTTTCTTTGAATCCTTTATTTCCTAAAACAAATTGTCCTTGAGTAAAGATTTTGATGGCCACTGCGCTGAATGTTTTGATTTTTTTTTTTTTTTTTGGTTCAGTGCTCAAGGAGAGACAATTGAACATGGGGGTTTTGAGTTTTCTTTGATTACAAGTGTATTTCTAAGGAACTTTTAAAAAATCCAGTGGTATGATTATTGGGGAAGATAGCCAGCAAAGAATAATTCTGGTGATTAGGGGATATTTTTGAGAAGCGAAGGCATTTTAGCACCCTGCTGGCTTCAGGGAGACTTGCTTTCTGGCCCATTCACCCCTCTTTTAGCTTTCCTCACCCTTTTCAGGTTTTTCAGCCCAGTTCTTGTGGTCTTGAGCTTACAGCTTACAGTCTGCCAGCTTCTCAGGGTATCTGCCAGCAGAGCTGCATGTTCCTTGTCTCCCTCCTCCGTCAATACTTGGCAGCCTTGCATCCTGTACTTTTAGATACCTTCCATCTGAGCTTAGATTAGCCCACCCATTGCTACAATTTTCTGTCGTTTCTGAAAATGGTGTAAAGCAGTGTTCCTGAAACTAGGGCTTGCTGATCCTTAAAGGATCCACAAGTTCTCTGGAAGAAAATTTAAATTTATGTTTTCATTTCAGTGATGCTCCTTAAACAGATTAACAAATGCATAATCTGGTTATCTGGATAACCACCTTCCAGTACTCTATACTTTAGTGTCTGAATTGTATTAGCACCAAATAGCCCAATGGAGCAAAAGCAAATTTTATGAATAAATGATGCATTCGCGCCCAGTGAATACCAGATGAGGCATTCGTTTGGTGCCTTGTATGTATAAGTGTTGTGGAGCAATTCAAATAGATAAAAGTGGAGGGGAGTGGAGTCATGTCTAGTAGTAAGAACATGCTCAAAATAAAGACCCTGCAGAGTCCACTCAGACACACTACATGCAGGTAAGCAGAAAGTCGCTTTCAGTGAAATGACCTCATTTATCACGTGAATGCTATGAATTTAAAAGTTCCTGGTTTTGTAGTTTAATCTATATTTAATTTGCCCATTTTTGTTAGTTTAATTTTGTAGTTTAATTGAAAATTTGTTCGTGAAAAGAACTGGTAATTTAAATTATTGACTCAGAGAATTTTTTTTCTCTAAAAGGGATGCAGAAATAATTCAGTAATAATTAATATTTGAGAAACTCTAATAACACGTAGAGAACCCTGGCTAGGCCTGGAGGCCCAGGTTCAGTCCTGTTGCAGCTTGATTCACTCGGTAAGTTCCTTCCCAGCTCTGGACCTCAGTTTGCAGGTAGATAAAGAGGAGCGGTTCGTCTCCATGGTCTCTCCTGAGTGAAACTGGGGTTTTGAGATCCCAGGTAGCCAAGATCTGATTTATTTATTAATATTGCTTAGTGTCCTGCCTGACACACAGATGTTCTGTTGATGTGTTTTGAGTAAGTGGCTGAGGAAGCAATAATATCTGTTTTGATATATCCTATAGATATGGCAAACCGGGCTGTAATGCAGAGACCTGTGATTACTTCCTTAGCTACCGGATGATAGGGGCTGATGTGGAATTTGAGCTGAGTGCAGACACAGATGGTTGGGTAGCAGTTGGATTCTCTTCAGACAAGAAAATGGTAAGACACAAAGCATGATAGAAGCTAATTTTTCTCTTTAGTTTGCTGTGCTACTGTAGACTTTAGAGAATGAGCACGGTTGTGTTTCCCTAAGTTATGACGCCACTTTTAAATGGGAGAAGCCGATTTCTGGCATTTAATTTTCTCTTTCAAAGTAAAGCAAGTAAATTGATCAAATCCTTGTAACAATTATACGAGTTACGGCTCTCTGATTACAAGTTAAAAAAAATTTCAAGCTAGCTTAAACGGAGATGGAAGGGTTGGTTATGAGAATACAAGGTGTCTCGTGGTACCTGTATTCATTAGTTATTTCCACAGTACTGCTGCAAGAGAGCCCCCAAAACTACACGGCTGATAACAGGAAGCATTTCTTTCTTGCTCACATGTGTGTGGATTGGCTGGGACTCAGCTGGGCTTGGCTCCAGGCCATGGCCTGGATTCAGGTATTCTCTAATCATTCTGGAACCAGTAGCTACCCAGGCGTGTTTTTCTCATGGCAGAGGCAGAAGCACAAGAGCCATCCAAGCTTATTTCAAACCTGTGTTCACATCACATGTGCTGGTAATATTCCATTGCCTGAAGTAATTCACACAGCCAAGCCCAGAATGAAGGGGCAGGGAAATACACTCCCTCTAGCCAGAAGCCTTGTGAAGGTGTATGTACATAATATAACAGCAGGGGAGTGAAGAATTGTGTCCAACGATTCAGTCTTCCACAGTGTGCATGGGCAAGAACACATCTGGTCCTCAGAAAGGACTGTGAACGGGAACAGGCAGGAACCCAGGTAGCTGACCATCCCTTACCTCTGCTTCTGTCTGTGCCTCTGCTGCATTCTCTTTCCTCTGGGGCGTCATCATTTGCCATTCACTGTGCCAAGGTGCTTCCCAAATAGCCAGACTTTCTTAGGCCTTTGAACCTTTGCGTGTGCTGCTACGTCTTCTCTTCACATGGTCTGTTTTGAGGTTCTTCCAATGAGAGGAGGGCAGCTCAGACCAGGGTTATGGCAGCAGGCGTGGTGGGAAGGGCTCAGATTTCAGATAAGTTTTGAAAGTAACGCTGACAGTCTTTGCTGGTGGATTGGACATAGGTTGTATGTGGGCAGTAAGAAGAGACTGGGGGATCAGGCTAAGCAGTCAGAGCTCCAGTGAGTTCGTTCTTGGAGAGTCACTAGAAGAATGCACTTCTCAGTCCAGGCTGTCAGACAGTGGGTCCACCTGGTAAGACGGCATGGCTACTAATTGATATCACTTATCTCCTACTCTGGGGTCAATAGGAGAAACAGCAGGTGTGTGTCATCCCAGAAGCTGGCTTGCAGTGCAATTGACCATTTCTTGTCCTGGAATGCATTTGCACTCATGATGCAGCTGTTAAGATTAGGGGGCTCAGAGGAGGGAGGTCGAGTGAGGAGCATTCAGATTTTATGTTTGACATTTTGCTATCTAGAGGCCTTTAAAGTATAGGTGTCAAAAAAAAATAAAATATAGGTCTCTCTTTTCTTCTCCTATTACTCCAAGAAGCACAGATTGAAAAGTTTTCAAAACCTGATGCACAGGAAAAGCAAAATGGAACCCTTTTTTTTGGGGGGGGGGCGGGGTATGCGGGCCTCTCACTGCTGTGGCCTCTCCTGTTGCGGAGCACAGGGTCCGGACCCGCAGGCCCAGCAGCCATGGCTCATGGGCCCAGCTGCTCCACGGCATGTGGGATCTTCCCGGACCCGGGCACGAAATGTTGCGGAGCACAGGCTCCGGACGCGCAGGCCCAGGGGCCACGGCTCACGGGCCCAGCCGCTCCACGGCATGTGGGATCCTCCCGGACTGGGGCACGAACCTGCGTCCCCTGCATCGGCAGGTGGAATCTCAACCACTGCGCCACCAGGGAAGCCCTGGAACCCTTTTTTAATGACCTTTGACTTTTTTTGAAATGATGCATTACTGTTTTCTTTGTTAGATTTTATTTTTTAGAGCAGTTTTAGGTTCACAGCAAAATTGAATAGAGGGTACAGAAGATTTCCATATACCCTCCCAACACACACGTGCAGAGCCTCCACCATTATCAGCATCCCTCACAGAAGGGTACATTTGTTATAACTGATGAACACCTATAACGTTTTTGGTTTGTTTTTTACGAAAATGTTAAACCTACAGACAAGCTGCAAGGATAGGACCATAAACTCCTGTATATATGTTTCACCTAGATTCACCAAATTGTAACTTTTTAAATTGTGGCAAAACATACATAACCTAAAATTTACCATTTTAAAGTATTCAATTCAGTGGCATCAGTTACATTCATGGTGTGGAACTGTCACCACTATCACTTTTTCACAAACAATAACATTTGCCACATATGCTTTATGTCTCTTTACTGCTGCTGCTACTACTTACTATTTTTATTATTTTCTGGAAACTTTGGAGGTTAAATTGAAGGTATCATGACGCTTTAACCCTAAATATTTAAGTGGGTATCTCCTAAGATCAAAGACATTCTTTTTCATTATATAGTTTATTAAATTCAGGAAGTTTAACATAGATACAATAGTATTATCAAATATACTCGTCCATTTTCAAATTTGCCCTTTGTCCCAGTACTGCCCTTTACAGAAATTTTTATTTTATGACTCAGGAGTCTGTCTAGGAACACCATTAGCTGTCATGTATCTTTAGTCTTACTTATTTTGAACTAGTTTCTTATCTTTTCTTTTTCCTTTTCTTTTTGGTCGTTCATGACATTGACCCTTTTGACGATTACAGGCCAGTTTTTTGGTAGAATGACCTTCCATTCAGGTTTGTCTGATTGTTTGCTTATGATTAGGTTAGTGTCTGTGTTTTCGGCAGGACTGCTGGAGAGCTGGTGATGTATTCTTCTCTAAATGGCTCATTAGGAGGCACTCGATGTCAGCTATGGTGATACAAACTCTGGTCACTTGGTTAAAGATTTTTTTAAAGATTTTTTTGATGTGGATCATTTTTAAAGTCTTTATTGAATTTGTTACAATATTGCTTCTGTTTTATGTCTTGGTTTTTTGGCTGCAGGGCATGTGGGATCTTAGCTCCCTGACCAGGGATTGAACCGGCACTCCCTGCACTGGAAGGCAAAGTCTTAACCACTGGACCGCCAGGGAAGTCCCTGGTTAAAGATTTTTAATGGCTTTTAGAACAATTTTTGGGGGTGGGGCTTCCAATTACAGAGTTAATGGATCGTATATTTCGGAGTGAAATTTCTTTCTAGCAGAAAAGTTTGCCAGAGACACACCTTTGACTTTTTTCTCCATCATCTTTCGTGTTAGGGTGGTGATGATGTCATGGCCTGCGTCCACGACGACAACGGCAGGGTGCGCGTACAGCACTTCTATAACGTAGGCCAGTGGGCAAAGGAGATTCAGAGAAATCCTGCCAGAGATGAGGAAGGAGTTTTTGAGAATAATCGGGTCACCTGCAGATTTAAACGGCCTGTGAATGTTCCCAGAGATGAAACGATTGTTGATCTGCATTTAAGTTGGTATTATCTGTTTGCCTGGGGTCCAGCCATTCAGGGTAAGCTTACATTTTGGTATCTGAATTAAACACCAGACACTGCCGTGCTTGTAGTCCTTATTTACTGGGCGAGAGAGTGATAAGCACTTGCCTAACATAAGAGAGAAAGGCGATATGAATGTTCTGCCTTCAGAATGTTATAATGGACTTATACACATGAACACAGAAATGGACAAGTTATACACATGCATAGTTAGAGCAAGATATACAAGATAGTATATGATGAGCTCTGTGCTTAATGAAACAGATCATATGTCTGCTGTATATGGTATGTGGACTCTGATTCTCACGATGGTCTCATTTACTCCTCACCACGTCCTCCAGAATTGTAGGAATTATCATCCTCATTTTAGAGAGATTAAGGAACTTGCTCAAGGCTATATAGCTAATTAATGGAAGAACTGAAATTCAAACCTAGATCTGTCTGACTTCAAAATCAGTGAGTACTCTTAACTCCTATGCTCTAAATAGAAAAATACTGAACAGGAAAGGGCCTCTGGCGACTTCTCTAGAGATTGACACTCACTTTATGACTATTCTGGTGGTCATAAATCTACCAAATTATCCTATTGTTTAGCCCATTACTCCTCAAATTTTAATGTGTATGGGGATTGCCTGGCTATATTGTTAAAATGCAGTTTTCAGTAGGTCTAGGGTGGGGGCCTGAGATTCTGCATTTCTAACAGGTTGGTCCACTGATGACCTTACTCTGGGCGGCAGGGCTCTTCAGCATTTCCCCAACAGTGACCCAAGTGTATCATGAGGCCTTTGAGAGGCTGCTAAAATCAAGTTACACTGTGTCTACAGCATTCCTCCTGGTTCATCAGCCTGATGGCCTGACCAGGGATGAAAGTGAGCTGTTCTCAGTCCCTGTATGAGAACTCATTCTGGGAATTGCATCTTTCTCACCAACTATCCGTTGCCTAATCTGATCTTTTTTTCCTCTTCAAATTGTTCCCATTGATCGATTGGAGATTTTATACCCTTTTTTTTTTTTTTTTGCCTGTTTCTAGTTGGGAAAACATATGGATGCCTCCAGATTTGTGACACCTTTTCCATTTGCTTATTTCCCCGGTTACCGACAGTGGATCTACAATTATACCTTTGAGTACTTTCAATGCCCTGGGAAATAAACTATGTCTTAGGCTGGAGAAATGAACTCATTTTAAATGATGGGATTTGGAATCTAAAACTCTGGGTTTGAGTTTGGTTCTGCCTCTTGGTAGCTGTATCTAGCCTTTCCCTCAAGAAAGGTATGAATTGGAGGTACATAGTTAAGCCTGGGAATTCATGTAGGTGACCAATGATTGAGGTTAGGGAGGAGAGGTGAATGGGACCAGTTGAGAGAAAAACTCTTGCCAGCCGGGGGAGTTTGGTTTATGTTAACAGGAGCCAGCACGGACACTGCAACAGGGGCTTGACGTGTCCAGTTGGACACAGCTTCTCCAGCAAATAGTACCTTAAAAAACCCTCACTCTGAGCCCTATTTCCAAGGAGATCTTTGCTCTAAATTCATATGCCTTAGTCTCCTAAATTTCATATGGGTTAATCCAAAGGTCAGGCCCTTCCTATCAATTTCAGCTTATTAAGCAGCCTTTGCATACAGGTCAAAAAATGTTTCCCATCCAAAGGCTTGTTTGGTATCTTAATCCTCTTACTTTCTGTACCATTCCACACCACTCTGCCAGACAGACATGCAGACATACAGACACACAGCACAGCACACCCTCTGGTCTGGCCTGGGCAGGCTACCACTTTATGTCCCATAGACTTCCATCTGCAAGGGAGTCCATGTGGTCAGGAGTGCTTAATGAGCCATACATAAAAAATATATTTGGAAAAAAAAATAGTAGCTCTTGTTCTTTGAAGTTTAGTTTTTCTGTGGTTTGCATGTATCATTTTAAATCTGTACCTTTTTTCTATTGCCCCTTCCTTTTTATTTCTTTCCTCTTTAAAGGCTCCATCACCCGACATGATATAGACTCACCACCGACTTCAGAGCGTGTTGTCAGTATTTACAAGTATGAGGACATTTTTATGCCATCAGCTGCCTATCAGACCTTCTCCTCTCCATTCTGTCTGCTTCTCATTGTTGCCTTGACCTTCTACTTATTGATGGGAACCCCTTAACCACAGCTGCAAAGCCAACAGATTCAATGCATTATTAGAAAGTCTTTAGTATATTTTTAAAAAATATGCAGTATAATTTTAGCTTCTATTATGTAAAAAAAAAAAAGACTTATATGATTCAGCTTTCTGGAAGAAAGAGCAAGTTTCTTTTCTAAGCGAAGAGAATAATGACCCCATACTTTGGGAAAGTATTAAAACTTTTCTAAGCACTCACTTTCAAATATGTTTTCTTATTTGAGCTTCCCAACATCTCTGAGTTGGCTTGATGAACATGATTATTGCCATCGTACTGAATGGGATTTGAGACCCAGGAAGGCTCCCTTTTTATGACTCTCGTGCCATGTAGCCTTGGCTACTTGGTCACATAACACATAGCAAGGTAGAGAAAGCTAGGCATAGAAACCATGTCTCTAAACAACCTTTACTCTTCCAACTACAGCTCAAGAGAGTTACTTGGAGTAATACTAAGGAGAACTTCACTGGATGGCCCAAGTTCACAGTCAGCCTTTTAGGCAGAAGAACTTTCAAATTTTCATAAAGCATGAAGGCATTTGGATACTTACACGGCTAATGAGGAGAATGATGGAGATAATAGTGATATGAAAATGGTTCATATTTATTTGAAGTGTCTTCTGGATTAGTAAGTAGCTAAAAGAACACATTTTTTTTTGCTGCTTGGAAAGGTCAGAAATGGAGTTCCATTTCTAACGAGTGCTCCTGAGTGTTCTAACGAGTGTTCCTGAAGATGTAAAAGTATATTAATGATAAAAAAAAATATGGGCATTCTTAGAAGTTAGAATTTGGACTCTCCTATCACTGTATTTAATAAATTAAGGTGTTCATTTGTGGTTACAGCTAATTCTGTTGTCAGCCACCATATATTGAGTATGATTAAATGTGTATCATAATAGACAAATCATCTTGAATATTCAAGGCACTTTGATAATAAATTAACATTTTTGGAGATTGTGGAGATTTGGAGTAGAAACATTTTAAAGATGACATATTTTTTTAATTAGCAAATGCGAAATGACCCATCAAGTGAATTCACTTAGAGTATCCATTCAAATGTTCAGACTTGTAAATTGGATTGGCAGTCAGCATAATTTATAATAATGTCTTGACTTAATGCATTTTCTTTTTTCAAAGGAACCCAAATGCTCCTTTATTCCAACTGACTGAGTTAACAGCCCATTTAGAGGAAAAGAGTCTCGGTATAATTATGCTGCTGAGACATTTCCACTGTAGCGTTCTGGAGTCTTCTGGCTCCCCCCCAACTCCCCACCCCGTTGCTTTAAATTTGGCTTCAACTTTGTGGTTTTTGTGATTAACAACACTGGAGACTGTGATTTCTAATGCCATCCTTGGAATCCATGTCAGAAGTGAAAGGCCACCTCTCTTATGGGGGAAGCTTTCACATTCTTCTGGCACTGAACAAAAATAAGGAAAACAGGGCTTCCCTGGTGGCGTAGTGGTTGAGAGTCCGCCTGCCGATGCAGGGGACACGGGTTCGTGCCCCGGTCCGGGAGGATCCCACATGCCGCGGAGCGGCTGGGCCCGTGAGCCATGGCCGCTGAGCCTGCGCGTCCGGAGCCTGTGCTCCGCAACGGGAGAGGCCACAACAGTGAGAGGCCCACGTACCGCAAAAAAAATAAAATAAAATAAGGAAAACATCCAGATTCTGTGACATTTACTGCGTGCATCCAAGGGATGTAGTCAGTCCTCATTGCAGGTGAACAGAGGTGAAATGACATCAAGCGAGTGATGGATTCAAACTCAAGCCATCGGATTCAAGTCCCTGGCTCCACCTGACTCATAACCAAGCCCTCAAGCCTTGGCTGAGGATGGCCTGTGCATCACCTTCTAAGCTACAGTGGTTGTGTAGCAGTAAGGACACTGAGTATGCAGGCACCCACGTTGTAAATAAGAAAGCAAATATTTTTATATTTCACCCTCTCATGTGTATAATATTTCCACCATAAATAGGTTAAAACTAAATCGAGACGAGCTGGTCTCTGTAGCAGGCAGGGAAGGATTAAATTAAGGGATTTTCCTTCTGCTTACATTTCAAGTCAAGCTGATTGTTTCATGAATTGTTTTTCCTTGGATTACCAGTTTTGCATATTTGTGCTTAGAACTTTCAACGATTTCTCATTTTCATTAGTGTGAAATGCAAACCACTTTGTTTACCTCCAGTATCATCTTTTGTCACCACTCCTCACCTTGCTCTGTCCCAGCAAGACTGACTTGCTTTCAGTTCTTCAGACCTGCTTTCTCACATTGCATGACGTTCCCTGTGCCCAAACATTCTCCACTTCCTGGGCTTGCTGAACTCCTATGCACCTGTCAGGTCACAGAGTAAGTATTTCTTCCTCCAGTCCCCTGGACTAAGTATCAGTAGGTTCAGGTCCCTGCCAAATGCTCCCGGAGCACACTCGGCTTCCCCATTATTTTACTCATCACACTTTCCTGTAATTGCTGGCTCGCCTCCCTGCTAACTCGGTAATGCAGGGACCATTTCCTGTTACTCATCCTTATAACAGACACGACTGCATAGTAGGTACCCAGCAAACATTTGTTGAATGAATAAATAAACGAAACTCTACTCCCATGGCAAGTTTGGTCCAGAAAGCTTGTATTCCATATACATTGCTAGACTGGTCAACGTTTTTATATTCTTCCACCTGTGATCACTCCTTTAGCAAACACTGAACTTTTGTCACTTGAAACATAAATCGAAAGATCTTTCGTAACAATGCTGTTTTGCCCTGTAAAACAGAGTTGACATTTTTAACAATAATCATTGTTCAGAAATGGGAATTCAACAGACCAGGGATGCAGAACAGCATTTAACCGTCATCCCAGAGAATCATCAATTTATAGACATACTGAAGTTAAAACTCTGTAGACTCCAATTTTATTCGTTCTTACATAATGTAGGAGAATCAACTTCTATTTTATTTCTGTATTCCATTTTCTAACATAGTACTTGTTACAGGGGAGAAACCCAACCAGTGTGTTTTTGTAAATGCCTAAGTAGAATAATAATGTCTGCTAAATGTATTTAGTGCTTTTCTTAGCACTTTACAAGGATTGACTCATTTAATCCTCACAACAACCATAGGAAGTAGATTCTATTATTAGTCCGGTTTTACAGATGAAGAAACTGAGGCTAGGCATTTGGCATAAATTACCAGTGTTGGCAAGGACTTTAGATGCCATTTTATCCAATGCACTTATTTTAAAGAGGGGCAGCTGAGACCTAGGGAGGTGATGTGATTTCCATCATGCACATTCATTCAAACGTTTATTAAATGGAACCCACTATCCACACTCAAATTAGCCAGGTGCTTTTTTTTTCCCCCTTTAGCAATTTACAATGAATAGGAGGACTTTTTATAGTTCTGTTTGGGGAAAGGGGTACATTTTACTTTCTATCGGCTTTTTCTCTTCTTAAAAACATTTTGATTCTTTATTTTACCAGTCATTTTAGTGTGTTTAGTAGTTTTAAAAAATAATACACAGATTGGACAAGACTAGAATGTATTTGTCTTAGTTAATTTTTAAAAGTGACTACCTAAAACCCAGGTCTTCTAACTTGGAGTCCAATGCCCTTTTTTTTGCTCCACTGTAGTCTCAAAGGTGAATTTGCAAACATGATTTCAGACAAAATGCAAGAGCCATATTTAATTATCTTAAGTTGGCTTTTGTCATCAAGGAAATCAGAAAGTTTGGACAACTCAGGGATGGATTTCCATCCCACATATTTTTTACTACTGTTTCTGTAATTAAGTTTACAGTCTGTATTCAGGATTTTGTGCTTAAGGGGTATTACCACTGAGGTTGTGTATTATTCTTAGTTCTAGCCTATGGGTCAGCAAAGTTTTTCGGTAAAGGTCCGGATGATAAATATTTTAGGCTTTGCAGTCTCTTAGCTGTTCAACTCTGTTGCAGACAATACGTAAACCAATGAGCATGCCTGTGTTCCAATAAAACTTAATTGACACAAATTTGAATTTTATATAACTTTTACATGTCACAAATATTATTCTTTAGATTAAAAAACCTTTTTTAATGTAAAAACCATTCTTAGCTTGCAGACCATACAGAAACAGGCAGCAGGTTGGATTTGGCCTGTGGACTGTAGCTTTCCTACCCTTGCTCTCAGTTAAGAGGCACGCCCAGGTGTCATGGTCAATTGTATAGGACACTGCGAGTAATGTATTATAATGTATTACTGGTTAATTGTAAAAATATTGACATTAGTAATTTGTTTGTAAAATAAATTATAGTTGATGGATTGTTATCTTGATAATGCATTCCCATTAGAATCTGCATTCTAATATGTTTTCCAGAGTTGATGTGAGAGAGGTGTCAGTAAAGTCAGAGCTGGGTACGTTTTATTTTATCTAAGCTGTGCCAATCGTGAACGACTTTCACTGTGCAGTTGCTCTTCATGGTGTGGATTACAGTTGATCCTTAAACATCGCATGGGGCTAGGGGCACTGACCCTCTAGGCAGTGGAAAATCCACCTATAATTTATAGTAAGCCCTCCATAATATGTGGTTCCCATGTCCGCGGTTCCTCCTGTCCATGGTCACATGGTCCAAGGATGCAACCAACCTTACTACATGTAGCACTGCAGTATTTACTATTGAAAAAAATCCATGTATAAGTGGACCTGCACCGTTCAAACTTATGTTGTTCAAGGGTCAACTGTACAATGTTCAGACTAGTTTATTTTCCTCTAGACAATTTTTAAGCATTATCTAAATCTGTTACATCCCTGGGATGGGAGTGTTTTACTCATGTGACTATGGCATCACCTTGTGTATCATAATGGAAACATGTTTGAGAACCACCACAATAGGTCAAATGCTGAGATGTGAATACTTTGCTGTATATAACTGTATTGTTTTCTAAATAGAATTGGTTATGTTTAGTGAACAGTTTGATTATTCTCAGAGTGTTTGTATATATATTTGTACATACATGATGAGGTCTGTATGTGTTTATACATGAATGCCTATTATATACACATACCATGGCCATTTGAAGGTCTTTGTCAGGATTGTTTCTGTTTCTGATCTTGTGAATACTTTAAAACCCAAGAGATAAAACATTGTATGTATTACAGGCCAAACTACCCT